CGGAGACAAGCGCACTAACCATGAGTCCTCCCATGGGACTGAAAAGTACATTTTAAAATTCCAGGAGTATGCAATGACTTCTAGGAGCAGTGCAAACCGTGTTAAAGGCTGAGCCTATTAACGATTCTTTTTATTCTCATCACTTGTCTCCTTGATAATGCATGAAGTTGTAAGGAGAAATCATATGTTGATTGCTAATTACCAAGGAACTGTAGAAAAACTCTCAGAATCTGGTATGAGCTCACGTGCTTGTTGATCTTTTTAACTGACAGTAAATGAGAGATGAACATAGACACTAAAAATCCCCCACAATGGCCTTGTCCCTGCGTGAACAAAGAATAAGAAAGTGGTGACCACTTACACCTCAGTCTGAGTTAACTATAAAATTTTACAAGACAAAGTGTAAAATATAAACAGAAAATGCCAAAACCTGATCAAGTTTGCGCTGATATGCCAAACTTTTATTAGAGCCACCGCGTCTTTCATTCCTGGGAAATCAGTGATGCACTTATACAAATGGTGAAAGTGCTGCTCCAGGAACATGTCCAACAACACCAAGGCATTGTAATGAGGTGTTAATATTCCTGTGTCTAAAAACGTAACACAAAACAAGAAAAGAATTATTGTTAATAGTGTTTCATTGATTAATATTAACTTCATTTATTGACATTTGATCATTTAATTAGTTGCGTGATTGACAGCCGATGGTGTAATCACTAAGTAAGTTGATCTTTAAGTTAGAATGACACGTTTTCAAAACCACGAAATCAGAGACAAAGGTCATAAAGCTTTTTGTACCTTACGTTGAACATCGCTAACCTGTAGTGTTTTACTGCTCGATCTGCTGACCCGTTTCGCTGACCTGTTACTGAAATAAGTTTGACTGGATATCACGACAGAAGTGACCGTTTGTTTATGTAACCCGTTGAGTTTTGAGAATTATATTTTCCATGCAATTTCATGAATCGCTCGCTATTAGGTTTCTTAAGAATTATGTATCTTATGTATCTTCCTTATAGATCGAATAAAACAATATAAAGATTTTACGATTCTGTATCCAGTCATTCATCCGAGAACCATTTTTTCCCCTGGACCAAATAGAGGCCACAACATTGCAAATAAATATTAATACTTATTGTACATGTAGCAACGTTTTAAATATAATATGTACTCAATGGTTTAAAATGTTACTTTTTAAACCCAATGTGTGGTTTGAGAAAATATTCATACCCACCCTAGAGCTTAATTATATTTGTTGAGAGCATCGTAATTTGGAAATTCCCAGTATGTGGGAGATCTCAAAAGCCAAATATTTTATAGAAAAGTATGAAGTTAGACTGGAATTCCTGGAGGGGTGGAAGGGTTCAACCCAAAAAAACCTTCATGGGGAGGGCATACAACTTTCAAACTACACGTAATATAAATAATTTTTCCTAGAGAAACACAATACAATTCCAACATCCCTTCCAACTTGTACATGATAGTAGTTTATTAATGGTAAAAGTATCAAAAAATGTACAAGAAAATGAAAACTGTAGGAAAATTGAGATGAGCAATATTAAATGATTAAGATTAGATTTACAATCAGTCTGTAAGCTACAATATAATGTACAGCTGCATTACAAAAGTTTGTTTTCCTGACATCTTAGCCACTGATAATTAATTAAAAGTGACTCACAGGTTGTTTTGCCAATAACAAATTATAGAGTTGTAACCTACCAGCCCCATCTTCTGCCACGCCCTCCTTGCCATTGAACCAGTTCTGTCTGACATTATTCTTTTTTGGAGAAAACCTCTGAGGTTTGAATGTACATGTACCCACTGATAATCAGGGATGCAATCTGATGACAAACTGTTTCCCAGCTTTACCTATGAGAGGAATCAGTTGTAAGCACGTTTTATTCAAGATGTCAAATTTGCAACTTGTGTGAAACTTCCTACTGCACTTGTAGGTGTAGGGGTATATTATGAGTTATTGACCAAGGGGAAGGTCAAATAAGTACGAGGAAAGAAAAGA